CCCCCCCTTATCGCGTCTGGTTATGATCCTGTTTATAAGGCCATGCAGATATCTCTCTTATTACTTGCTTTAAAAGAATCTTTTAGAAAATAGAAAGTATTGAGATATTTTAGCCCATTTTCCATAATTTGGACAAATCCGAATATTGGTGGTTCCATTGTAGGTGATACTAGAAAGCCAACAGTTGTTCATTGTTATCAGTCAATAGAAACTGCTATTTTGAGGTGAGTACACGTAGTAATACCGGAAAATGTAGTCAAGGGTGTTTTGTTCTTGCAAGTGTTTAATGCAGACCAACTGCAAGGGACGTGTACTAACGTTTACCCTTACCCCATACCCTAACCCTATCCTACACCATTCTTGCATGCCTGAATGTAGTTTTACCGCCTTCCTGTTATTTTTCTTGTGTTCAGTATCAAAGTTACACATTTAGTGCAAGCCTACGTAAAGCGGGTACTTCTCGGTGATGACCTGTAAATTTCCAAGAATTTCATTTCTTATGTTTATGATTTGAGGCAAAGTTTCAATTCTTAATATAAACGATGACCAATAATAAATTTTAAAATGTTTTGCAGAGTGTATATACTGATTCAAATACATTTACTTAATATATAAAAACCACGTGGGGAAAATTCAGTAGGGAAGTGAAACGGATCATAAATCACATAAATATGAAATCTAGTTTTTGATAAATAATAAAAAAGACATCTAAAACATATTCTATTGAATAGTTCACCAGCCTAGCAAGGACGGAGCATAGAAATTAAATGAGAGAATGTTCAATGAGAATACGCTGCCATGAAATTTGTGGACAACTTTCAAGTACGCAAGAATGACATATAGTCCAAAACTTTAGCGTATGGATGTACATTGTAGGTGTGTAGTTTGGTGCTGATAAATGAAGACCCTTCATGCGGTTTAATATAATTTAGATTTTGCTCATAAATGATTTTTCAAAATAAATATGTTTTGAATTCTGGAATGGTGCAAAGTGACCTAGATGCAGTGCTAAACTAATTTTCTCTCATGCCTATAAATTGTTGACCCACTTACATAAACATTTTAGCCTGAACGTTAACTTTCAAAACGCAATACAGATGCACTCAACCGTACTTGAGTAATGCATTCACGGATGGATTAATTAATTAATTAATTAAACCTCCGGTCCACTTCATTTGTCATTTGTAAAATAGAATACCATATTTACCTTTATAAAAGCACAACTGTGTTTGCATTTTCATTCTCTGCTGATTTTGTTCGTTCTCTGCTGCACAGCATGACGAATTAGGCACATGAACTGTACCATTCAAGCATTTTCTTCGCCAGTCTTTCACGTCATTTTTTAGTTCTTCCAAGCGTTTATTACAGAACGTAATATCTTCATTACAAATGACCAGACTTCCACCAAAATATATCAAGATAAGAAAGCCGACTATGATATTTGTTGCTGCAAAAGTCCATCTTCTTATCTTCTGGTAATTGATTCGTTCGAACGTGAACGCCATCTGTATAAAAAGAGTTAAAAGTTGTTATAAATGTATTAATTTTCACGTCCCATTGATTCATGGTCGCAGATGTTAAGATACGGGAGAAAATTCTGATCACAAGCCAGCTTGAACATCTTCGCGCAAAGACTTCTGACGCACAAGGTTTTTACAAGGATAAGTCATCCGTCGCCCATCCAACTAAAACCAAGTTAATTAATGAATATATGATGGCGACTTAAGCTTTCTACAATGATTTGTCCAGAATGCCTCTGTGCCCTTGAATTGAGCAATCGAGTCAACGGGATTGATGGCGTGATTTATCGTTTTTCGTTGCTCTCTGCCGTTTCAGACAAGGCCGCCGAAAGGGGGGCGAGTTACCCCGGTCCCCACCTTAATAGGGGCTCCAACTTGAGAACGAGAGCATAAAATTGAGTAGGTTCTTTAAATTGGTCAGAGCATTTTTGAAATTGAGGGCCTCTTACACTACCTCCACTGCAGTCTAGCTAAGGTCCAGTTCGGTCTAGCTTAAAAATGATGTCATGCGTCCCCAGACTTAGGGAAGATTTGCCCCGGGCCTGCGAGTTCTCTCGGCGGCCCTGGTCTCAGAATAATATGAAACTAGTTTAATATCTCTAAGCATGGTTCTGAAATTGAATGCGCGATCAATAATCAGCTGATTTATCAAGTTTGCGCGCTCATTCATAGGTGCTTTGTAGTTTCAAGCCAACCTGGTTTTCAAGGCTACACGAAGGTCTGTGTTGCAAAAGTCCTGGCAAAGTGTTGAACCGGAAAGAAATTTGACTAGTCGTTAAAAATATAACAGAGTATAGAAAATTAACCATTAATCGGGTTTTATTATATGGCAAGTATCACTTCCGGTGAAATGGCGGACTATGCGGATTGGCATGAGAGGCGCAATTTCAACGGTCCATTATTTTCCCATAACGGATCCAGCGGTCCATTGCGTAAAAACAAATGCATGAATTTTAAAACAAAACAGCAAAACTTGTAGAAAATTCGAAAATTATAATTTAGTTTGTTATTAATAATATATCTGCGAATGGTTTTAAGTGGAAAGGAAAGAATACATTGCTATTTTTTTTCTTCGTTCAAATGTGTACCACTCTACTAATATGCATTTCAAATCATGCATTTCTTGTTTGTTTCAAGTATAAATGCTTATAAATGCAATATAATAAACTTTTTATTAACGTCGTTTGCTTGGTCTTTACAGAGAAATTAATATTAGTCTAGGACCTGTATATGAGTTTGTATGCATTTCATTTAGGACAGATAATCTCAACTGTTTTAGGGCAAGTTGACCATGACGGTCAACATGGTAACGCTGCCCGAACCCCAATCCGGGACGAAACGTCCGAAACTGACCACACCCAAAACGACGCTTTCGCCATACTGCTATCTACCAAACCATAAAAGCTTTGGCTATTCTGAGGTGCTTACATGGTTCAGAGATGGTACTATTGGGGGTGGTCATTGGTAAGTGTGAAATGCCTAGCACTGATATTTCACAAGAAAATGGCCATGCAATAATCATAGTTAAACGTCAATTTGTGGCTTGCAAATTCAGATAAACAGCAGTGGACTTACATTACCTTTTTCCCTAAATCTTTTTGATAGAAACATAAATGGTACTTATTTAAATATATTATCACTGGTTTGGTGTAAAATAGTTAATATTTTCTGACCGAAATAATAATTTGAAATGTGCCTACCTCCTGCAAATGGACGTATTTGGCCAAGTTCTCCACTTTACTCCGCTGTTTATCGGCGATCTCGTCGACATCCTACAAAAAATGTAAATCATCTCAGACATAATGGTATCAAGAACATTTTAAACAAGTTTCAACTTGGTCTCAAGTAGAGCATACCTGTTTAACCATCGACAAGGTAAATCGACAACTTTGTCCAAATTCGGCGCCATTTTGTCATCCCATGTCGCTTGTTAACAATTCAGCCTTGTTGCTCTTCCATCCAAGCCATTTCCATTCCACTAATAATAAATTTAACCCTTTATAACAGGAGGAAACTAAAAATCTAAACAAAACATAAGAAATTCGCCATTTTATCACCCTGTAAAATTTCGCTCACGAGTCTTTCAAAACATTCCGTACAAATATCGCGTGACAAAGTAACAGGGACGTGACAGGAGGGGGTGAATTATTTCACGAAGATAGAAGAAGGCTGCGTGAAATAGACTAAAAGCTAAATACAATCATACAAATGTTTGTTTTATTTCTTGTAGTGACAAATATATACATTTATTATTTATTAATATGAAAAAGTCATACAAATTAAATGTTGATTGCTGGTTTTACCATACTGTATGGGCTTTCATTTTTCAAGTCTCTACCCCCTGTCACGTCCCTGTTGCTAAACCACGCGAGATTTGCACGGAATGTTTTGAAAGACTCGTGAGCGAAATTTTACAGGGTGATAAAATGGCGAATTTCTTATGTTTTGTTTAGATTTTTTGGTTTCCTCCTGTTATAAAGGGTTAAATTTATTATTAGTGGAATGGAAATGGCTTGGATGGAAGAGTAACAAGGCTGAATTGTTAACAAGCGACATGGGATGTCAAAATGGCGCCGAATTTGGACAAAGTTGTGGATTTACCTTGTCGATGGTTAAACAGGTATGATCTACTTGAAACCAAGTTGAAACTTGTTTAAAATGTTCTTGATACCAATATGTCTGAGATGATTTACATTTTTTGTAGGATGTCGACGAGATCGCCGATAAACAGCGGAGTAAAGTGGAGAACTTGGCCAAATACGTCCATTTGCAGGAGGTAGGCACATTTCAAATTATTATTTCGGTCAGAAAATATTAACTATTTTACACCAAACCAATGATAATATATTTAAATAAGTACCATTTATGTTTCTATCAAAAAGATTTAGGGAAAAAGGTAATGTAAGTCCACTGCTGTTTATCTGAATTTGCAAGCCACATGGCCATTTTCATGTGAAATATTAGTGCTAGGCATTTCACACTTACCAATGACCACCCCCAATAGTACCATCTCTGAACCATATAAGCACCTCAGAATAACCAAAGCTTTTATGGTTTGGTAGATAGCAGTATGGCGAAAGCGTCGTTTTTGGGTGTGGTCAGTTTCGGACGTTTCGTCCCGGATTGGGGTTCGGGCAGCGTTACCATGTTGACCGTCATGGTCAACTTGCCCTAAAACAGTTGAGATTATCTGTCCTAAATGAAATGCATACAATATATATATATATATATATATATATATATATATATATATATATATATATATATATATATATATATATATATATATATATATATATATATATATATATATATATATATATATATATATATCTATATATATATATCCACCACATCCACCACACTGTCTTCTATAGTATATATATTCTTGGTATGTGGAAGCTCATCATCGGTGCACTGTGCTGATGAGCCCCAAAAAGGGCGAAACAGCTGTCCACAGTTGCCGTTGTTTGAGCTTTC